TCCCCTCCCCTCTCTATTCTATTCTATTCTATTCTATTCTATTCTATTCTATTCTATTCTATTCTATTCTATTCTATTCTATTCTATTCTATTCCAACATAAACTTTACTGAATTATGCATGTTCATGTTTCCATATATGGTCTTTTTACAGTGGGCGACGGGCTAACTGTATAATTTACGGTATCCTTTATGGGTTGAGTTGCGTTACAAAACACTTCCCTTATTTTCACATACTGATGATTGGCAGGATACTTGGCGGTACGGCTACTTCTATCTTGTTTAGTGCATTCGAATCGTGGCTTGTGTACGAACATAATTCGGTAAGTACTAGGGTTTTACAGATATCAGCTTTAATATTTATACTTATATTAATAAGTTGTATCACATTTAACTATGCTATCACTGGGCAGTGGTTGTCATGTCAGTAAAATGCAATCTTCATATTAGTTATTAAAATTAATTAAAAAACATAACAAAATAATTTTTAAATTTTTATCCAATTTTCTGTTTAAATGCTGTGGATGGAATTAAGTTCACAACGTGCATCTGTCTACACCGTACTATTTTTAAAAGCTGTCTCAATTTAATCTCTTCCTACGCAACTGGTGGATTTGTAATTTTATACACATGCCTGGTTTTTGTTTCTTGCAAAATGGAATTTAAATGTATGCTACCGTGCAAGTAAATATGTTAAAGCAATATGTCTATCTGTCAAACTACAGTGCATTCTACTATATATCTATAGCAGTAAATTTAATTTTTCTGTGATCATTTTCAGAATTTGAGACCATTAGAAACCCGAAAGGGGAAAAAATCTTTTATTTGAATAATTTGAGACTAAGAAAATAATTACAGATATAGAGAGTGAAAATACTGGGAACTTCTTTAATTTCACAAGAGATGACACATTCATAAATTACTGATAACCCCATATTTGTGTATCAGTAAAAATTTAACTTGGATCCTAAAAATATGGAAACACAATGATTTTCTTTTGTTATGGAAAAAATAAATCAAATCGGCAAAATGCCTAGCAGCCAAAAATAAGCAGTTTACTGATATAGCAACATTACCCAGAGAAAAAAAAATTATCAGAAACTGACAATAGTGAAAACAAATATTTTGCACAATTGATCTTCTCTAAACCCCTGAAACAGCTTGTATTGGTACATCATGTGGACCTCAGAAATACATATAATTATTATAATTTTGGGTTTGAAAATTATCCGAAAAATATAAATAATTTCAACCTTAGAAAAATGTTAAGTAAATTTAGACTCTGTGATCACAATCTAGAGATTGAACTAAGAAGGAACAAATCAAAAATTTTGTTAGATGACAGAACATGTAAAAGATGTAATATGAATTCTCTTGATGATGAGAAGCATTTTATCCTTGCGTGTCCTTCCTTTAAAAGTGAAAGGAAAAGACTTTTTAGCTCTGCTGTCGACTTTGTCGAGCGGAGCTTATCATATGAGTGATTGTCCGTCGTCCGTGTCAATGTTTTATTTTTTCGACTTCTTCTTGAAAACTACAAGCCTGAATGCTTTGATACTTTGTGTATATGTACCTTGGGTAGACCTTTCTTAGGTTTGTTCATTTCATGTTGATATCTTCAATTCTCTAATTTTGGTGAATATTTTTGTCATTTTTGGTAAAAAGTTATATTTTCGACTTCTTCTTAAAAACCGCAAGTGCAATTACTTTGATATTACATATATAGGTACTACATGTGGACCTCTCTCAGATTTGTTCATTTTGTAATGATATCTTTAATTCTCTAATTTTGGTGAATATTTTTGTCATTTTTGGTAAAAAGTGATATTTTCGACTTC